ATATATATATATATATATATAGATTAGGAACAGCTGTTCGTAAACGGCGGTTTCCGACTGAATTTCAGGTTTTTGCATAAGTACACATACATATGTATCTTTTCCAGTCATAAATATATCGATGGTCCTCTACAATAACGACACAATTCAAAATTCAAAGAATAAAAACTCGTACTATTGTTAAGTTGCTTATGTCTTTAANATATATATATATATATATATAGATTAGGAACAGCTGTTCGTAAACGGCGGTTTCCGACTGAATTTCAGGTTTTTGCATAAGTACACATACATATGTATCTTTTCCAGTCATAAATATATCGATGGTCCTCTACAATAACGACACAATTCGAAATTCAAAGAATAAAAACTCGTACTATTGTTAAGTGGCTTATGTCTTTAATTGTTGTCTTATTCATGTATAATCTTTACAACTTACTTTAGTTAGGGTTAGACATGGGTTAGCCAAGGATTAGAGGCATCTTAACAGTAAAAGGGATTTGATTTTTTGAATTTTGTGTTGTGTCGTTATTGCAGAGGACCATCGATATGTGAATTCATATATTTCGATAATGAAATAAATTCAAGCAGAAATACTATTTTTAGTTACATATACATATGTAACTCAATTTCAGCGCCACCTGGCGGCAAATTTTTTTCGAAAGAATTATTTTTCCTGTTATCAATACATATTTTGAATTTTTGAGGATAATCGGACCATAACACGATTTTTAGTAATAACTTGACTCCAACGCCACCTAGCTGTTCTTTTTTTGCAATGGCATTGTTTTTCGTATTGTCAACGCATATCTCAAATATAAGGCCATAAATACGGGTTTTACTAATAACTCGACTCCTGCGCCACCTAGCGGTTTTTTAAAAGTTATTCTGCTATTCGGAAGGTAGACAAACTAAAAAAAAATATCATAAAAATCCGTCCAGCCGTTCTTGAGTTATAAATGGTGTAACTAACACGACTTTGTTTTATATATATAGATATACATTTGAGTAAACGGAACAAATGTGTGTTTTGCGCTCGCGCTAGATATTTTCATTTTAAATAGTTAAAAGAATTGTATTTTATACTTTACTTACTAATGGTTCACTTACTAATGGAATACCCCATATGCATGTACATATGTACATACGTGTGCTTACACACTTTTAAAATTGTATATCAGAATGTATTTTAAAAATGAATAATAAAATGTTCATGTTACTCACAAATCACTGTTAACTTTGCGTTTGCTCGTATGGCTGAGTTAAGTCGTGCAGGTCCAACTTGACACTGATATTCTGCATCGTCAGTGATTGAAGCATTAGATATTCGTAAATTATATACACCTTGTTTTCGGTCGCCTAAAACCGAATACCGGGGAAATCCAGGAATAACGGCTGAAAAGCCGAGAGCAAATCCATCTTTCGTCCACTGCACTGCCCCCGCTTGATTAGATACTTCACAGCGCATCATAGCTTCTGCACCTTCGAGCACTTGAAGGTCATATGGAGTCACACGAAACTTTTGCTGTTGGGCGAGTAAACCAGGTGTGCAAAAGATCGCGAAAAGCAGGAGCAAAAAATATCCTAAAAAAAATAAAAATAACAAGCGGTCAGTATTGTTCACAAAAATCGTAAGCTGATGCCAAATAAAATGCTTGCTTCTCTTTGCGTGACAGATTCGCTTTGACAGATAAGATGAATTGTATGAAAATACACAAAGCATGCCACATAGATCGTTGCAGCTACAGCGCGAAGCGAAACTCCCATCCCTTTGCACGCTGTGACAATCAGCCGGTTTAATATTTACTTTGTTTCGTCCAAATTCGAGATTTCATGCAGAAACATAACATTTAATTACATTGCTGATATTTTTAAAGCTAAATATATAAAATCCACAGCAATTTTGGCGAGTAAAAAAGCAGTACAAAATTGTTTTCCTTGCGTTCATTGCGGCATACCTTTTGCGTCTGGCGCTTTGCTGACAAAGTTATAAATGTCAAGCAAAGCCACAAAGTTTTATCTGGCATCAGCTTTAACGTAATTTGGCATTATTAGATGTTGTAAATTTGTTTTGAAAAGAAAAAATGTGCAGCTTTATTTTTTTTTTAAATATGGTATATAGTATGTACATTAGACTACATCACCAAAAAAAGTTGCGGTTTTTCCGGCGGGATAACAAAACCTAGTATATTTTAAGACTTCTAACAAAGTATTTCGGAAAAATATTAAGATTTAAGTGAGCTGGACCGGTTTAAAAATACCTTTAAAAATTGATTTTTTATGAATAAAAATAGTTTCTTGAAGGAATTTTTTTTAAATCCCCTCAGATGACAAAACAGTTTAAGCTTAAAAAATCTACATAAAACTATTAAAAAATTTTATTAACGGAGTCATAATAATGAGATTTTTGATACTATTTTTTAACATTTTTTAAAGAGTTGTGTAAGAGAAACTTGAATAACTGCTCCAAAACTTTACCGATATAGACTTATGAGGTATCAGTGGAAAGGTATTTTCTCACCCTTTTTATTTCTTTGCAAATAACTCAATCATGTCCCAATAACAACATATCTTAATTCAACATGGGATGACACTCGTTTATCTTACCTTCCCTTCCTTATTCGCAAAGAAATTAAAAGGGTGCAAAAATAACTTACCAATGATACCTCATAAATCTAAATTGGTAAGATTTTGGCTGAGTTATTCATGTTTTTCTTAATCCAGTCATTGAAAAAAGTTCAAAAGCAGCATCAAAAATCTCATTATCATGATTCCGTAGAAACATTTTTTTTAAATATTTTTATGCAAACTTTTTAAGCTTAAACTGTTTAGTTATAAGAGGTATTTTCTCCAAAAAATATTTAAAAAAAACTGCTCTTATTAACGAAAAACTCAATTTTTGGAGGTATTTTCAAATCGGTCCAGCTCACTTAAATCTTAATATTTTTGCGAGATATTTTGGTGGAAGACTTAAAATATAATAGATTTTATAATTCCAGCGGAAAAACAGTACCGATTTTTTTTTGTATGGGGAGTGATCTAGTCTAATCTACATAAATACATATGTACGAGCCGTGCGAAACACTATCTGAAGTTAAGACACGAACTTTTCTTTCACAGAAAATGAAAAATTTTTCCATAAATGGACAGTTCACCAAAATGATAAACGATCTGGAAGTTGAAATGATCCGGCTTTCCTCTGGCTTAGGATTAATATCCGTGGTTCTCACTCTTTTTCCTCCAAACACGCAGACGCTCCTCTCATTCTTAACGTTAAGTTTTCAAAACATTTGTTCTCGCCTACGTCCACGAACCTAGCTGACCCAAGTCGCCAAAAATCAATAAAAATTAGCTAGGA